ATTCTATTCTATTCTATTCTATTCTATTCTATTCTATTCTATTCTATATTCCATTCTATTCTTCATCCCGATATTCTATTCTATTCTGTTCTGTTCTATTTTATTCTATTTGGTAATTGTATTGTACCCTCTGATTGTATTATTCCACTTTATTCTATTCTATTCTCCTCTTTCTCTTCCTCCTTCTTTTCTCTTCTTCTCCTTCTCTTTCTCTTTCTATCTCTTCTTTTTCTGTTCTACTTTACTTTACTTTATTTTACTTTACTTTATTCTACCCTACCCTACCCTACCCTACCCTACTCTATATTTGTTCTATATTCTATTCTATTTCCTATTCTCTGTTCTACTCTATTGACCTCCATCCTTCTCTCTGGTTTCAGCACTGGGAGATGATTATCGGGGTCAGCGAAGACAAGAGGTTCATTTCCTGTTCAGTCTGGAGGTACGTCTTCTCCCCTGCCCCTCTTAGCTTTACAGGTAGTCCTCGCCCTACGACCACCAAATGGCTGTTAAAGGGCATTTGCTCCATTTTACAACGTTTCTTCTCACAAGCCAATCCCTGCAGGTGTTTTAAGTTAGTCACGCGGTTGTCAGGGGGACTGGCCTTTCCCTTTGGCTTGGCCTGTCAGAAAGTCACAAAAAGGACCTCCAACCATCATAAATGTGGGTTAGTTATGGTCCTAAGTCCCTTTTTTTCCCCAGAGTAACTTTGGGCAGTTATTAAACAAATGGCCGTAAGTCGAGGACTCCCAGTATGCCACTGAAAGGACAATCGGATCGGTCCATCCACATTAAAATCCTTTGCCTTCAATGGGTACGACCACAACAGAGCCCAACATTTCTGTCATCAAGCGAGATATCCGTTAAATGAGGTTTTGCCCCCGATTTAAGGCCTTTCTTGCCAACGGTTGTTAAGTGAATCATACCCGTTGTTAACAACACGGGTTCTTAAGCGAATCTGGCTTGTTGGTAGGAAGGTCGCAAGAAAGGGATTGTATGAACCCTGGGACGCTGTAGCTGTCCCAAATGGGAGTCGGTTGCCAAGCAGTTGAACACAAATTTCAGTGCCGTAGTAGCTTCGGATGGTCACTAAACAAAGAGCTGTAAGTCAAGGAGATGATGCTTTGGTCAGTCACCTTAAGGCAGCATTGAGGGAGAGCCAGGGGTGGGTGTTGAGGTAATTCCCTGTTAAGAGAATGAGCGCATACAGGGAGACGTATTTGAGAGAAGTGTTTGAATAATACGCATACACAGCACACAGATACACTGTACATTAAATGTAGGTTTTTACTTCTAGAAAGGTTTAAAGCAAAGTCCAAAATAAGCAGTCCAAAGTCATTCACAGGTAAAATCAGTCAGTTTTCAATCCAGGGATAATCCAATAACAAAGTCCAGTGTCAAAAACAGTTCAGTATCAGACTTACATCAAATCCAGGAATATCAGTCAATTAGAAGGAACAGCAATACTCTCCAACAGAAGGAAACAGAGATACACTCACACTCTCTTCCGAGACTAAGACTAAGACAACCCAGGTTTCTGGCTCCATCTTATGGCCGTTTGAGAAACCACACCCAATTACACTTTTGCATTTTCTTAAAGATACAGTTTTAAAATGTCTCTCCCGATTTATATATTGTCCAACCCAAATAACGGTTAGGTGACTTATATTCCTAACAGGCCCCACAGGCCAGAATGTACCCCATACGCCAGATCCAGCCCCCCCAGGCCTTGAGTTTGACTTTAATAACAGGATTGCTAATGCAATCCTAAATTGTATTAACAGAGGGATGCAATCAAACTCAAGGGAGGTACTAATACCACTCTATAAAGCCTTAGAAAGGCCACACCTAGAGTACTGCCTCCAGTTTTGGTCACCACACTATAAAAAGAGATGTTGAGACTCTAGAAAAAGTGCAGAGAAGAGCAACCAGGATGATGAGGGGACTGGAGACTAAAACATACGACGAACGGTTTGCAGGAACTGGGCCTGGCTAGTCTAGGGAAGAGGAGGACCAGGGGAAACCAGATTTGCTTAGCAACCGTCTGACTGATTTAACGACGATGGCAGCGATTCCCTTCACAAGCAAGAAAAGTTTGTAAAATGGGGGCACAACCTCCCTTGACCAATTTCTCGCTTAGCACCGTAAATTTTGGGCTCAATTGTGGTCGTAAGTCGAGGGCTTTACTATTTGGGCCTTTTTTTACCATCCTCTTTAAATCCTCCCCTTTTTATTGTGTTATTATTGTTATTATCATTCTCTCTGTGGCTTTGCAAAAGTACCCTGAGTGTTTGTGTGCCAAAGACAAACTCCTTGTGTGTCTAATCAGACTTGGCCAAATAAAATATGCAATTCAATTCAATTTCATTTTTTCCCCTCCCTTCTCCTCTCCTCTGCTCCTCTTTCTCTCCTCTCCTCCCTTCTCCCCTCTCTTCCTTCCCTCTCTCCTCTCCCCTCTC